TTTAATACGTAGTAAATGTCCTGATAAAGTCTTATGTAAAATCATAAAGTTACGGCATATGAAAAATTGAGTTATGGCACATAAGAAAGTTTCGATATGGTATAGTTATATCGATATGTTGTAACAATACGGTATGTATATATATTGTGACATGCCGTACTTTAAAACCGAAAAGTTATATTGAGTTATAACTTAGTTACGTTCGGCTTGTTCTGATGCTTAAAGTTTCTACCGCATCCCTACTAGATACACTCCGACTACAAAACGGCTAAGCCGAAAATAGTCGACGAACCCATGTATCGGTGTACTATTTTTATATAAATATATTATTTTAATTGATAAAAGTTTTAGCTTTACCCTTCATTCGAGATGAATAAGTCAACAAAGCAGTGAGCAGACTATACATACCGTAGAAATTAGTTTCGGCTGCGCCGAAAGTATTTAGGCACCGATTTTTCAGCAAAAATAAAGCCGCAAGTCATAATTTATACCGCAATAACAAATGCCGAAATCCAAACATGTCATAATCTAAATTAATTGCCCCAATTTGTCTTATAATAATTTATAAAATCGAATTATTTTAGTATAAAATATACTTTTTTGTTTTTATTACATCACTTAAAATCACTACATACTTTATACTGTACTTTATTACTTTCGGCATTATATTAAAAATAATTTATTACTTTCGACACTATATCAATTATACTTTATTACTTTGGCGCTAGATCAACATTTATGACGTTAATTATGACTTTAGGCATTGATCATACGTTGCGCATGAATTTTAGATTTAGGCATTGCCGCATCCGCAATATTTCTACAGGTAATTCCGAATCCGAAAGAAAATCTAGAATACGCAAGAAGTTTAATGAATTTGCAATTCAGGTTATGGCGCGCATACTAATATAACCAAATTTGCCAGGCATGTGTGACAATTTTTATGTTTAATTTTAAAATGGACTATTAGTTATATGCGTATATAATTTATAAATTGTATCCTCTATTCTTAAATATCTTATGAATTTCTTCAAGTATCTTATTTATATCTGTATCTTTCTTACTATCTGTTTCCTCATTCAATTTAGCGATTCTTTTGAGTGTTTCAGAAATAAATGGTGCTTCAAAAGTTTCTTCAGTTTCTCCCCACTTACTACTTTGTACATTTTTGATTAACTCATGAAGTTTATCAAGATGAAATCTGTAAAATCTTTAGATAATATTAAAGTTATATAGTGTAAATATTAGTCAAGTAAATCTTCTATATTAATTAAGTTAATCTTACATAAGTTCAGGAAACCAATTGTTTTTTCTACGCTGATATGGTAGCATATAAAAAAGTTCTATTTCTGACAAAACCTGTTTAAAAGTATGAAAATTGTAAATAAAATTTAAAATTATAGCAATTAAGTTTATAAAATATTTACCTTTGCTCTTTGAAGTAAAAATAACTCCCTCTTATTTGTTTTATCGATAAAATTACCCAACAGACCAATAAATAAGTTCATCAAATAAATAGTTGTAAAAAAAGAAAAAAAAACTATCAATGCTGCCAGCGTTGGATTTTCAATCAATGACCAATTAGACAAGTAAGATGAATCTCCTATAGATAATGTAATTGTAAATAAGCATAGTTATCACTGTTTTGTCTGAAGAGAATAAATAAAAATACCTGTTAGCAACATATATACTGCTAAAATAGCTGTAAGTAAATTTATAAATGTATTTGGGCTTGTAGTTAAAACTGAATTAGAATTAGATACAGCATCCGTAGAATTATTTTGATTATTTGAAACATCAGTAGTTTGGCTTAATAAAATATGTAAGGAGTGTGCAAAGGCGAATATAATAAATGCTAAGATTGCTAAAAAAGAAAAGGCATTTTTTGCAACCCCAATTATCATTGCAAAATAAGTACCAATAATTTCAATACTACGGAAGAATAATAAAAATTTAAGTTCAAGTAATAATGTAGAAATTGTAACAGCCGAGATGGGGATTGTTGAAATCTGCAGCCAATAAATGGAAGTCATTACTGGAACTAACATTGCACCTATATCTTTAAAATTCATACATAAATTCATTAGATTTTATTAGAGTTTGCATACTTCACAGTTAAAAAATTAAAATACCAAAATAATTCCAAACATCACGAATCCAATGTTTTGGGGAATGAATAAATTGTCGCAATTCAAAAGTAAAGTGTAAAATGCCTAAGATAATTGTTGCAATTAATAATTGTTGTTGAAAACTTTTTGATAAACTGTTTTCAAAAGTAGCAACAATTAAAAAACATCCCATAAAAATAAAATAAAAAGTCCAAATAGCAAAAAAGTAACATTTTCCATAGGTGTACCATTTGAAGTTAATAAGGACTTGACCAATCCAAGATTTGTATAATTCAGAATATTCATCCAAAGTATATTTAACAAAAGGACTAGATTCAGGAAAAATTAGTTCTTTCCAAGGATTATAATTACTAGTATAGGAACTAAATTTTGGCAATGGGAAGATAAAAATTACAGTTGGGTGCTCATCTATTCTATTAAACTGCCCATCTAGGAAAGCAAAAAATCTATGAATGATTTTTTGAGGAAGATGTCTAATCTTATTAATTAAAGAAATTTCATAAGGTCGAGAATATTCTCTATGACTTTGAAGATGTGATTTTGAAGAGAAATTTCCAACCGCAATTTCTTTATTAGTACTTGATAAAATAAAAGAAATGCGTGATAAATATCCTTTTAATAAGTCAGGAAATTTCACAGTTAAATCCATAAATGAACAGGTAATAATTTCTAACAATTTAATATTTGCTAAAACGTCGATTTCTTTTTCGCTTTCTTTTTCTATTTTCTTTTCTGATTCTTTTCCTATTTCCTTTTCTAGCTTTTTTTCTGTTTCCTTTTCTGGTTCATTTTCTGTTTTCTTTTCTGATTCCTTTTCTGGCTTCATATTTATTTTAGTACATTGCTGATATAATCTCTTCATCATATGATAGTCTTTATTTTTTAAAAAACTATTTATAAGTTCTTGCCCATATAGTGCCAAGATTATTTTATCATTACGATAATCATCTAGTAATTCTTCGAAGGGATATCTTCCGTCCATATCAAATTTATCGTAATATTGAGTAATTGCATCAAAATCCGGCGATGGCAATGAATTTTTTTTACATTCTGGCGGCTGATATGAATTTTTTTTACATTCTTGCGAATCTGGATTAGGTTTTGTTGGTGAATTTTTTTTACATCCACATATTTCCTTATATAAATTTTCTATATTCGGTATTTTTGCCTCAAATTCAAGTTTTTCATAAAATTTTTGACTTTTGTAAGTTCCCAACACAAATCGATTATTATAATCTCTTTCATATAAATGAGAGGCTCGAAAAGGAAATCCCTTATAATATCGTAATCTAATTTTATTATGTTTCCAAACTGACCAGATTAGTAAGCCAATAGATGTAATCATCGCCAAATCTTCATTACCTAACGATTTGCATCTATAAACGAATTTAAAATGCTTCTTTAGATGCTTTGGATGGATATTCAATTCATCCACAAATTTCCATTTTTTAGTATCCTTATCAATTTTCGAAGCTTGCAGTATTTTGCCATCATCTTTAAAATTCCATTTTACTAAAGCTCCTCCATAAGAATCTTTTATTTCTCTAATCACATTACCATCTTCAATAATTTCTTTTAAAAAATTTTCGACTTGAGATTTACTAGGTAAAGATCTTATTTCATAATAATCTTCTAATTTTTCTCGTAGGTATTTAGACCACTGTGTTTTAGAGACCTCCTGGACTTGCAGAGAGCCATCTAATATACTGTAAATTTTTTCATTTCTTATTTCATTAAATTCTGTTTCTGGTATATCAACGTATGTTAGATGTTCTTTATTTATATCGGCTAGTTGTTCCTCAGTTGATTCAGTTAATTCAGAAAGCTCTTTACATAATTTTGACATATTTTCAACACAGATAATATGTTCAAGATAGTATGGATCCCTTATTTCAACTGTATCTTCAAAAAATAAGAGTAGCCTTTCTTCTCCATCAGATGAAATAAATTCTGATTTTAATAAAGGTTTATCTTGTTCATATTTAACTATATATTTATTAAAACGTAAAAATTAGAATATAATTTGAAAAAGATCAATATTAAGTTAATTTCTTGGCCTTCATAACATTAAAGAGCCTACTTTTTTTTTAAAAAAAAAATTACATATATTTATTTAGATATCCACTTGGTTAAAAAATTTTTCAAATGCTTTCAAATTTGACCGGCCAATTATGAAAACCAGGAAATTAATTTTGTGTGATCTAAATAATAAAAACATTTTTTGGTATGAAAAATTTAGAACTTACCGTATGATAAAATCATTGCATTTTCAGTTAAATAAACGTAAATAAATAAAATAAGTTTGTCTTCGACTGAAGCTTGTAAACATACTGCAAGTAATGAAAATTCTTTATTAAAAACAAATAAATCTTTTTCTAATGCTTGGATTACCCATTCTAACTGATATTGTTTTTCGAATGCTAAAGAATTTAAATCCCATTGAGTTAATAAACCGCAGGTATCAAGGATCATCAATTTGTGACCTCTGGTAATATCATAAGCCATAATCTCTCCGGATATTCCACAAGCAATTGATCTTTCAGTTACCCAGGATTGTTTATGAAGATCTGAAGAGAAAATAAATATTTTGTAATAGGTTTCTCCAAGAAATAATACTTGTGCACCTATTACTAAATCCCCATTATTATAAAATCTACAACCGCTGAGATGATGGTTTAAAAACGACGTTTCTAGATATGATGTTTCTAGTATAATTTCTTTTTCTTCCTCAAGGTCAATAACCTCTTCAATCATAAAGACATTTAATGTTTAAAATTAATGAGAACTATTTTTAATAATATATAAATTGTTCATTTATTAATTACTAACCGATAACTTTATAAATTGAATCTTCCTCTTCCTTAGATGATTGTATTGCGATATGTTTATTATTCGAAATCGCTATTACTTGTGGTTCTGTATACTTGCAAAATTTTTTAATATTTATCAAGCAATCAACCTTATAAAGTTGATCCTTAATTTTTTGCCAAACACAAACTGATTGATCTTCTTTTCTCCATGCTACTACATATTTTCCATCTGGTGATATCAATAATTTAGTTATCTTACCATCAGTATGTTGAGTGAGTGGATCAGATGGATCGGGTTTGATTTCAATTATTTGTTCTTCATTTGCAGACTTTGACGATTGTGAAACTTCATTTTCGTAGCTCATTTTACGACGAAACTAATGTGATTCTTTGAATATTTACAACGTCTTAATCTTTAAACAAAGGTATGGCTTAGAGAACTAATCAGATTTTAGATGGCTTAAACCATTATTTAGTCTAAATAATTATTAAAGATTCTTGATTAAATGGCTTTTATATAAATAAAAATCTAATTCTATTGCAGTAAAATCTGGTTTACTTATTTTCAAAGGTTTTTATTGCGCTTTTCAAAAAAGATGTGATCGCAATGTCATGTGGAAATCGGAGATTCTTTGGATTTAGCACTATTACTATGCGTTTATGATACGTACGTAGTCAGGCTAGCGTTATTGTCGCAGGATAACAGATTTGTGGCTTGTATGAAATTGAGGCTTAAATGAAAAAGATAATATTATAAATACATATATGATTGCAATATAAATAATAAATGCATATATGATTGTAATATAGATAATTAATATGCAAGCTGGTGCATGCGATTGAGATTATGGTGAATCTCAGTGCTTGCTTCGTTTTGTTTACTTGTTCTCTTCGCTACCTTATTACAATCTGGCTCCTTCATGTTAGACCCACTCCGCTCTCGCTCATTCATTGCACCCAGCTCCTGCTTGTTGTCATTGTAACGAGTTTAATGTGCTGCACCATAGCGTGGGCTCGAACTCGCTACGTACTGTACGTACCTTATAAAATTTGTTGTCATGTGTAACAAATTGAATGCGCCGCACCATATCGTGGGCCCATACTTTCGATCCTCGTCTATGCTTCGCCACATGTGCACATATCCACGTAAAAAGAGTAGTTACTGTGGCAAAACATTCATTTTTGATACTCCTGCATCTACTTTTTTGATACTGATCGTGCAAATCTCAATAAAATAAGAATTTTCAAAACTTTGAACAAAGATATCTCAATAACCATCTAACCAAGTTCGATAAAACGTTTTTTATTTGAATTCTATGAATCCTTAAAATCCGGATAAAAAACTTTCATCGAATTCAGTCAAGTGGTTATCGAGATATCCTCTCTCTAAGTCAGAGAAAAATCAAAACGCATATCAAAATAATTAACCATAGCAGCCGCAATAAAATTGTCACGGCGGATCCTCGATTTTGATTGTCCAACGGCCGAGGATCTTCAAATTTTGGCCCGCATTATATAATTGTTTACTAATTTCCGACCGGAATTAACTTTTGATTTTTTCCTGCATAGTAAAATTGGAACAATTTTCACTTAATGGGCGGCTGTGATTTCATTAGTAAAATTCCGAATAATTCCGGCTTAGCTTTTTGATCGTCGCTCTTAGCCAATCAATATTGAGAATTTGCCGTGACAATTTTGTTGCAGCAGTATATACGCCAAATTTTTCTCAAACTTTGAACGAAGATACCTCGACAACAATCTAATTTTGCGTAGATTCTATTTTGATATGTGTTTTAATTTTCTCTTTGAAAGAAGATATCTCGATAACCACTTTGCTAAATTTGATGAAAATTTTTTTATTCAAATTCTATGAATCCATAGAATTCAAATAAAAAAAAGTTTTATCGAATTTGGTCAGATAGTTGTCGAGATATCTTCGCTCAAAGTTGGAGAAAAAAATTTGGTGCAGCTTCTATTTTGATATGCATTTTGATTTTTCTGACTTTGAGCGAAAATATAACTACTTGACTGAATTCGGTGAAAATTATTTTATCCAGACTCTATGAATTTCATCATGTATCTTCATAATGTCTAATAAAGAAAATAACTGATGAAACCTGGGCAAGAATAAGAATTTTATGATTTTATTAATAGACGATTTATAATTGCGGAAATTTTCTCCGACCATATAAAAATCATAGAAGATATATAAAATAAACTTAATATTTTAATAATCTTAACTATTTAAACCTTCATAATCTTGACGTTTTTATCTTGTAGTATTGCTTTATGCAAAAACATTCACTCTTTTATATTTATTTTATCACTAAATTCTGATTTTAATAGATTAGAATTTAATTTTTTTTTTAGCTATAATGTAAAAAAACTTTTATTTTTTTTTCTGATTATTTATTTTGCTATATTTATTTTCTAAATCACTTATGTAAATACTTGTGCATTAAAAACTTAATATTAAATAAAAAAAAGTTCTTATTTCGTAATAAATTTATCTAATAAAAGTAAACATTTACCTACGCAATTTCAAATTTTTTTTTTTTGTATATCAAAATAAGATATTGCATATGCTCACTCACTCTTTCACGAACCTTTGCTCTAAACTTAGGTTGCTAATCTCATTATCGTTACAGTGATACAAGGCTGTGTAAATGACATAATTGCAAACCGGGAAATTAAATAAATGTGAATCTGCAAAAATCTATATTTTTTGCAGATTTTTGCAAAATTTTATAAAATTTGGAGTTTTATACAGAATTTACATTTAATTTCTGCATTTATAGCTATGAGGTTTGAAGTTTTTCACAGATTTTCATTGGATTTATTGTTTTTTTTTTTTTTTGCAAACCTGTACAGAACTGCACTAAAAAAAAAATAAATTCCGATGCAAGAATAAGAGTAGTTATATAAAGACACTTATTTAGCTGAAGATTACCAGCCTATATATAATACCGGATCAGTATTTTAAGGAGTATTCTATACATATGCTGTACGGATCTGATTTTCGTGATAACCCAGTAAATACCATAAAAAATCCAATTTTATGGTAAAATTCAATTTTATGACCATAACTGATCCTTAAATCCTATTTTTATCATAATCATGAGACTCGAATTTTTAACGTTAAAATAAATCAAGAATGTAAATTAACCTTATTTTCACATGAAAAAATAATTGGTAAAAACGTATAGGACATTTGTAAAGGACGAGAGAATTATTTAGCGATTTTGACCTTTAAAAACCTGATAGTAATATTTATGAAATGTGATCGCACGTAATATGTATCACTGATTAGATTTTCACGAGCTGAATTTGATAAATAATAAATGATAAACTTGAAAGTCTAAAGTTTCATTTACTTTTGGTAGTGTTCAAATCATTTCTATACATTTTGAATATTACACATACATTTAAACTATTTTTTTAAATTCATTTTATTTTTTTATTTCCAATTAGCTATCCTATATCATACTATTAAACATTACACAGTATATCGTTCATTCATCAATACCTTTGTTAGTTATATTTACATATGGTATCTTAATTTTCCCTACGGAAGAATCATAGTCTAGCAACCATAATTCAGCAAACCGGCCAAAGTTTAAAGTCGGAATGCATCGGAGTTAGGCCGGCATTAAGAAATAAAAATAACTATCTATATTATAGCAAAATTAGCATCTGGGCTAGAGATGTGAACTGTGGATTACAGTGCATATAAATATACTAAAACTACAGTTTTACAATTTATTTATATTAACTAATAGTTTACGGATCGCACCTCTAATCTGGGCAATTTTACTTAGCGATAAATTATTGGATTATTAGCAAATTAATCAATTCCGATCCATTCCTTTCGGAATTTGGTTAATCTGCTAAATTTTGGTTACTCAACTAATATATTCTGATTTACTACATATCGATTTATCTTAAGCACAGACATTTGGAAGTTGTGAAGGTGGGAACTGATCCGGAATCGGGAAATATGTGCAATACGGATATCTGCTAGCACTAATACTACCTAAACAACACACTAAACCACTAAACTATATCTAACCACTAATATGGGAGGCTACGAAAGAGTTATCAGGGTCAAATAGAGCTCTAGGTTATGTCACGAAGCTCTAATTCGGGTCACGGGCCTAAACCGAAACTTTCGGCCGGGCGCAACTTCCGAACATAGTTTTCGCCAGAAGTCCCAAATTCGAAAGTTCTGAAACTTCTGATACTGGACGAAACCTCCGAAACTGTCGAAACTCCGAAACTGGCGAAGCTTTTGAAACTTTCGAAATCTATACAATAAAATACGAAAATTTTCAGATCACTTGAAAAACGCATGTATAAATGAGCATAAAGTTACAACCGAAACTAGATCAAACTTCTGAAATCGGGCGAAACTGGACGACACTTCCGAAATTAGGCGAAACTTCCGAAACAGGCGAAACCTCCGAAATTGGGCAAAAATGACCGAAAGTTCGGAAAGTGGTCGAAACTGGCCGAAACCTCCGAAATTGGGAGAAACTTCCGAAATATTTCGAGTAGAAAATCAATGACGTAAAATACGAGCAAGGAGAGTAAAAATTGAGAAAATTTCCGAAACGTTCCGAAAGAAATAGAGATCGAGGTTTTGGATTTAGAGGTTTCGGCAATTTCGGAAGTTTCAGGCATTTCGTAGGTTTTGGATTTTGGGCGATATCGAAACTCCAGAGCCGAAGGTTTAGGTCGAGACACTGGTAATGGAATTACAAGATTTACTTATCGAGGTAATTAGAGAGAAACCTTAAAGTCAGAAATATAGACTCTAATTGAGTCGAACTCTACTGAGTTATCTTTATTACGGGAGAAAAGCTCCTCTTTATATATTTAATTTTAGATATAATGGAATTTCTAGGAATTCAAATCTATTCTCACTATCTAAATTATTCCTTGAATAATTTTTATTCCCGTCATTCTTCATATATCAAGAATTTACCGGGTATCACAGGAATTTGTACTATTTATATTCACGAAATTAGAAATAAAAGATAAAAATAGAATTTGGGGTCGATTTTGCTATTCACAACGTGCCTAACAACTAGTTGAGTTAAAATTTTTAGGATAACCAAAAAAATTAATGAAATTTAAACTTTTATTAAGGCAGTTAGATTTTGCTATTTGTTTTTGAAAAGGTTTAAAGGACATTCAACTTCTTATTCTAACATTGGAGATCATTGAAGATTTCAGATGATCTAACGATCTACTCGAAAACATCATTTTTTCCGTGAGAATATCTACCCCTGAAATGTAATTCTGGAACTAATACTAAACCTATATATTCCAACTAGTACTCAAAACACCAAATTATACTAATGTTACGAGTTGATCGCTACACTGGAATCAACTTAGTATTATTTTTAACGTTAATAGAATTACCGAATGATCTGCTTGCTTAAAAGATCTCAAGTTTCCATACAAGTCAAAAAAAGAAAACCGAACTAATTTTATCATAGAGTTGCATCGATTGGTTAAAATTTTAACCTGCATTTTATAAAATTGTTAAGAAAAAGATATCTCGATCACCAACAATAACATTTGAGTGTAATAAATGTAAGACAAAAAAAAAAATTAAAATGGTTTATTCTATATTACCGCTGATTTTCACTATTCACCCAGATCTATCCGATAGAACTGTGAAGAAACTACAGATGATAAAAAAATATCGACTTAGATTCAATGTAATGTATAACTAAAAATTAACTATTTATGAGCTTGTTTATTTTTGTTAACTTTTTATGACGATCTGACGATTTAATAGTTAAAAAGTTCGTTGGCAATTAAAAAATTATTATGATTTCATATGAACTGATGTATCATGATGAAAATAAAAGTACTTTTGAAAATTTAATTTATGTGTGAGCTTATTCATTTTTGTCAACTTTTATAACGATTGACTATTTGATAATTAAAAGATTCGTTGCCAATTACCATAAATTAATTTGATAAAGATTTATTTTCCCGGAATTATCCGATAGGACTGATAGGAAAAATCTGATTACCAACCCGAATTACTGATGCGAAGCGAAAAATTAACTTGGCGTATCTTGGATGTGAACTTGAGCCTATTAATTTACTGTAGATTAAATAAATAAATAAAAAAATTGATTTAGAATATTCAGAGGTCACTATAAAGAAGCTATTCGAGAATGTGCTGACTCCATTTTTATATTTTATTCACTAATATGGTCAAGGTTTCGTTAGACGAAACCATTGACAAAATCATTTCGTCATTGCAAAAATGGTTCGTTAGGTATCCCTATAAAGAAGTGGTCCGGGTTGTGATACGGTTTGGACTTGGGAATGCATGAAATGACACGAACATTATGGCAAGGAGTGTCACGTCATATCACGTCATATGAGACGTCACGTTGCACACACTTTGCCCGTTTCGCGGAGAGCGAAAGATCAATAAATAATTTTTTTTTAAAAAAAGTGCAATATCTCAATTTCACTGATGTAGTTGCTCTGAGTATATTAACAAAAAAGTTCCTTACAAACTTTACTTTATTTGCAATTAATTTGTTCATATTATATTATTGCTGATGTAAATTTATGGTTTAATCATTAATCCACATGTTTGTATTTGTAATCGCGTGGTACATGAACATACGTATCATTGACCGTGCCAAATCCCTGCCAATTCGACTAGTAAACTGTTGCGAGGCCCTTGCAATTTACGGTCCACCGAATCCGTACCAACTCGGATCATAATCGTACAAACCAGTGTCAGTAGATTAAATTACTATCATGTTCTCATGTTCACATACCTGATATTCTGTAAATGTTCTCTATATAAGTTTATATATATATATAATAGCATAATACCAGATGGAAATAAAATTAGGAATCGAGCGAAGTTCCGAATCATCCGAAAAGAAATGAATGAATATAAAAGACGAGAAGCGTTGAGACAAAAATTTGAATAAACGCCGATATTTTCTGAAATAAGAAATTCAAAAAATAGGAATAAATATAAATTTATTGTTGAGAACATAAATAAATTTTCGAGAACATTAAATTAAATAAATTTGTACATAAATCAAAAACTATGTCACATAGTAGCAATTTCTACCTGGGTACAATCTCTAGCCGGGAAATGATTGTCAGTGAAATTTTTTCTGGGGAAGTGTTTGTTGGGGAAAAGAATGCGGGGGAGTGATTGACAGTGAAATTTTTTCGGAGAAGTATTTGTTAGAAAAAGAAATGATAGGGAACCTTTTAGATTCCTTAATACAAAATTATTAATTGGCACGATAAACTTTGCTATTTATGCTTTTCGGAATCACCATATTTAGTTTTTGCCTTTACATGTGAACGCATGTTTTGATTAAAAACATATATATATAGGTAAGAACTAGCAGAATAAACAAAAAAAAAAAAATTCAACCACAAATTAATACCTCTAGATAATATTAAACTCAATAACAATGAAATACCTTTTCTGGCTTATCGTTCTTATTTGTATTGTCCATTGCCTCACAGTTCACGCATTACCTTCAAGTAAAAAAATCTGGAATTAATTTTTATTTATAACATTTATTTTCCTGTTTTCTCGCCATGTATTTAATTTAACATTTTCATTAATAGGTGAATTGGAACGTCGGAAGAAAACCTGTAAAAGCGATGCTGATTGTGGCGGAAAACCATGCGACACTAAAGAAGGACTATGCGAAACAGCTTATATTGATTGTTGCTGGATGCCTCCTATTTATTGTTGTGGTGACTGATAGAAATTGATGGGTCCAGATTAAGGGCAAACAAGCTTCATGATGATTGCTGCCAGATGCTTTCCTATTTATTGCTGTAGTTGTTTAATAACGGAACGTTACTTTTGAGTTTTTTTTTCTTTAATTTCTTATATGTATAAACTATTTATTTAATGTAATAGTCTAATAGTATATTATTTCAAAGAATTTATTTTGAAAATCGCAAATATTTGAAAATTTAAATAATTTTTTTAGTCAATATTGAAATTTAAAATTTAGCTTCACTAGCAAATTTTTAGTTAATATTAAAATTTATAATTTATTAGCTAAATAAAATTTTCACTAGCAAATTTTATTTCCGAAGACGTTTTCCGATAGGACAGCCTTCTTCTAATTGGCTGATGTAAATCAAGGATTCACCCAAGTTTACCGATGCCCATTTAATATTAACCTAAAAGCCCATTTAACTGACATTCCCTATGTAAAAATATATACTGAAATTATCTTGAATTATACTAAACTTTTTCCGTATAAATTCTGAATAAATTCTGTATAAAATCTGTATAAAATCTGTGTAATTTCTGTATAAAATTCCGTATATAAATATACGGAATTGAAGGCGAATTCCGCATCACTTGGTACGGAATTTTATATGGAAACTTTTATTAATGATTTAAATTATATATATTTTTTTATATAATTAAGTATAAATTTTGTAAAATTCTGTATATAAGGCCATACAAATTTAATTACTTGGTTTTCATAACATGAAACTTTTAAATAGACCCGGCCGGCCGGCTTTT